TTACGAAGTTCTGGGGGATCCTTCAGGATGAAAAGCAGATTCAGTGCAAGTTATTGTTATTCTGTGTACCCCCTGATAAATAACTTCTGTTTAGTCACCGTTAGCAACAAAACCCACCGTGTTCATAAAAAAAGTATCAGCAACTAGAAGAAAGAGATGAAAGAGGACTTTGTACTAAGCTGTTTGTTGAATAAGAATAATTTATATAGACAGCAGCTACGTATTTGCGTATTGCAAAACTCAGGAGCATAATGGATGATATACAAAGATGTTGTATCTGAAGAAGAGACTTAAATTTTTAATCATAGAGTCAAGGATATCAGCATAACACAGTTGTTATTTTGAATGTACTAACAACATGCAACCTGAAAATCTTAAAAATAAACAAACATAAGGGTTTACTATAGGCATCTAATTCTTAGAAGACCCAATATGTCTAAATAAAAAAAAAATCTCGTCAAAACAAAAATATCATTCCCTGAATACAGAAAGCGATATCTCCTCTCCATCAGAAATTTTCAGTGAAATATTATCAAGTGAAAAAGCATAAGAAAATCTATAATAGCAATAATCATCTAGAAAAGTAGATCAACATAAGAATCATCAGAAACATGAAAAGATTTGTGTAGCCTTTTTGCAGTAAGCAAACGTTATTTTACATAATTTAAATCACGTTCTAAAATTGGTATTTTATTCCCACTCCCACAGCAAGGCTCTGACAACCAGTTCTTGCTGTGAGTTATGGATTGAAAGAGTAAGGAAATTGTCTTAAATACCTTTTCTGAAAATGACATCAGACGTATTTAACAAAATTGTCTTAAAAGTTTTGTTCCAACTTTAAACAATGACAGAAAAGAGAAGGTATTTTCCAGACCTTGAGATTATCACTTTTGAATAGTCTAACTTAGGAAGGAAGAAAACTCAAAATCCATCAATTTTATCCAAAAGCAAAAGAAGCAGAAAGACCTGCTCCTTCACACATGAAATCAAACTGTGACCTCCTCACCATAAGGGACCGAGAGTACTAAAAGTTTACGTAGTCAAATCCATTGAGGGGTAAATAAAAAGAGATCAGGTGATTCAGGGAGCCCCTAAGTCAGAGGGCTCCTCTGTATGGGGAGAGCACTCAAGGGAATCCACACTGCGCAAAGCAGTCCTTCTGGATTCTTTGCATGGTCAGGACTGGCACGGGGAGGTTCAGACCTCCAGTCTGCCTCAAGACTATTCTTAGGACTAATCCTTGCCTTTAGGTCAATTTTCAAGAGAGGAGGAAAACTTTGGAAGAGTCATGTAACATCACATATACGTTCTCAGGAAAATAAAATAAAGTTGTTCTGAGCTTTTTCTCATTATCAATGTTAATTGGACAGGAAGTCTGCTGCATGATAAACGATTGAATCTTAGAAACTTTAGCTACTCTGACACAAGCGACTGTACCTATATTTGCCAACAGGTACCAGTATTTCTCTGTTGAGCAGCACTGCAAGAAAGCACACAAGCAATAATATCACAAAAGATGGTAAACACTGCAGTTTTAACTTCGTGGTACTAATCCATTCAGAAAAAATAGTGTATCAGAAAACTGACTGCTACCTCAAAACTGGGTTTAAACATGACAGCTTGGTGAAGCTGCCGTGACTGCAGAAGGGAATGACCCAGTCCTGGCAACACCAATTTTCAGTTACGCTGGACTAGATCACATTTACTATGAGGTTCAGGCACAATTTGATTTTCCATGTGCTTCCAACTAAAACATCAATGGATTTAAGTAACAACCAACCAATTTTCTAATAGTTCCTGGTTTCTGATAACAATACAGAAAAATGAAGATTAAAAGGAAATCAAAACATCAACTTCAGGTTATAAAACACAAATGCAGGGTGGATTTTTTTTCCCCCTATGTCTACATTGCAGAGGTATCCAAAAGCATTGGATTTTAAGAGCTTTGGAAAGGTTTTTGGTCTTTTGTTGAAAATCAGTTATTGGCTACAGCTAAAGGGATGATACCAGACTGATGAAGCGCTAGGTCGATTTGGCACGGCGAGTCCTGCGTTCCTGTGATGTGGAAGTAAACTGCCCTGCTGACACACAGGCACACAGACACTCTCAGGGTTTTTTCTCCCATCACTGGACTAGGTGTTTAAGCGATAACTCGTTAACGCTTATATGAGCTCTACGTGTAAATCCTCTGCAACACTGATGGAAAAAGCAGAAAGTAGTGCTTTGCAAATGTTTTATCTAAAGCCCTGACACTGCAACAACTAGCCTTTTCTATGGGAGAGTGGCGCTAAAGACTTTAAATGATTTTATCAGTCCTTAAATTTTTCAACAAATAGTTTGGGTTTTTTTTTTTTTAAATTGTTCTCTTTAAAAGCATATAACTTTGGGTGAAAAGGTTTCACGCTTCCTTGATTCTCAGGTGTACAATTTTTCTTCTGAGTTGTATGAAATGTAATGTGATAGAACAGAATATGATTTATTTCTTCTTACTGTTGTCCAAATGTAGAAATAAAAAGAAAAAGTCTTAACTCATGAAATAAATAGCAATTTTGTGGATTTTCAGAGAGCTTAACAACATTATTCTGCTACTATTATTCTGCTACTACAAAGAAAAAGCAAACCTCAAAATACAAAAATAAAAAAAATACAAAAAAACCCCCAAAAACTAACAAACAAAAAAATAGAGTTAAAAAAATATATATACAAGCTGTTGATGAGAAAAAGCTTACGTGGTAGATTTGCATTTTCTAGGGCTGAAAATCAGTCTCAAGGAATTAAAAACTAAGTTCAGCCTTGCTTTATATCAAGTTTATAGTAGCATCTTGTAGCATAGCCTGTGTGTGTCAAGCACACTAAAAAAAGTCCCAGATTTAATAACAGCCATGTCTTATGTTTAAAACTTGCAACTCCAGTAAGCAATTGTCGCATCTTCTGTCAGGTGCTATTTTCATCAAGCTGCTTTTTGTGTTTAAATTTGAAATTCCTTTCAAACTAATCCCATCCTAGTCAGTAAATCTGACCACTCCTGTGGCAAGGCAAATCTTTATTACCTAGCTCTGTGCATCGGAAGCTGAATTGCTGCAGAGCAACTGCTAATAACCTCATTATCCACTGGGGCCATGCAGATGGTATGGCACAGAATCTACACAAGGGATGCTTAAAATTAGTTATGAGGTTTTAAAATTGGTGTCCTGCAAAGCAAAAATTCAAACAAATTAATGAAATGCCCTAATAAGCATAAATGGATGCAAGTTTGCCTTATTTATTTTTGTACTTAATATGACTGAAACAGAGAACTGCTGAAATTAATTCTAAATTCCCATGAGTCACTGACTTTCATGTGAATGAAGACTCAACACGGAGATTAGACCTACCAATAATTTCTTGTCCCAGATCAGAGACTGAAAAACCACGTTAAATGCATTTGTTTTTTGTTCTACTACCTGCCACGGGATACAAAATTCATTTTATAATTCCATTTACCAACTTTCTTTCTCACATTAACTATCCAGAAGGCGTGCGTGGAACAATTTTAAGGCACATTGTAAGTTGCTCAGTGCAACCTCCGTGTTCCTTGATTTCCACACAATGCATTAATCACCCTCCGATGAATCACAGAGAGGAATAAAAACATGCCCCGATTAGCAGGGCTGATTTGACTCACCCATTATCCTACTGAGTGCTGCGCTCCTCGTGGGCGACTCGCCGAGACCCTCGATCCCGCCGTAGAGGGAGTGGGAAATCCTCCGCTCCCGGTCGTCCATCAGAGTCTCTATGGGGAGCTCTGGCCCAGAGGGGCTCCCAGGTGACTCCAGCTGCACAGAAAGAGGAAAATTAGGGCCCAGGGTCCATTTAGCAGCATGGGGGAACTGTAACAACTCGCCTAAGGCCTAGACTCGTCTGGGCAGCAAACGAGCTAGATCTTCCCACCCCGAAAAAATATAATTTGCAATGACAGCTCTGCTTAATGACCAACTTTCTAAGCCACTTTACACTGCACATCCCATGGCACCCTGTCAAATTTCAAATCCTTCAGGAGAAAATTGGTGAAAAAAAAACCCCATTGCATTTTGGTGTCTCTTTGTTGGATAATTTCTTAAACAGACCGTTTTGGCTTTTTTCAACAGTATCGGGCAGACAGCTGGGCCATTGTTCCCACACTGACAGCCTGTCAGAACAAGGCTCCTGTCAGGAGCGCGAAGCAGGAACTCCATTTGGAATTGGGCTGCTGGCGCTTTTTGAAGTGGTGCAATTTGCTTTCAAATGTAATCATCATGGAAACCCCCAGGAAACCCCACCACACATATTAGTAACCAATACGCAAACACTCAAACATTTTGTAGTTAGGAGGGAAAGGAAAAAAAGAAGTTGGGCTTCACATGAACTTCTATTTTCATTTTTTTTCTACTTGTTATGAGTTCTTTGCTCTGCCTTTCCTGGTCACAGGATACAGAGACCTCATGTGCTTCCTTCCATCTGGAAGCTTCCCTGATCCCTGGCACCGCTGCAGCATCCCGGCAGAGCCACAAAACCCAGAACTGGCAAAACCTGAGGTGCCCCAGCCCTGACCCTCCGGACCTGCCCATCCCTGCCCTCCACAATTCCAGGCAGACCTCCCCGGGGCATTTTGAAGCAGATGAAGTAGGTAATAGAAGAAACGATGGAGAAGATGGAGATGAGCTGCTTGGCCACGTGCACAGGAGAGAAGACTGTGTATGGCTGCCTCCCTGCCCCAGCTGCCCTCCGTCAGAAGGCTCCTCTGAGTGACTTCCCAGCTCAGCCTTTGTTTGCTGAACCTGCTCATCCTTTGTTCTCCTGCACATGCCTCTCAGATTTTTTGAACAGAGAGAAAAAAATCAAGTTTTCCTCAGTGAGCCCCAGAGAATCAGAGCTCAGTAGAAAGCAGCGTCCATGCAAGGCAAAGAGAGAAAACAATTTGGTATCATCTAGCTGGGTTTAGCCACTCAGTTAGCCACAGGCAGCTCTGCTGCCGACACAGCCCAGAGAGTGACGAGAATAAGCGCCCGTGCACTCACCAGTCAGTTCAGATGCCCAATTTGTCAGCACCCAGTCGCTCCGTGCAGAGACAAGAGACTCCCCACACCTCACCCAGCCCTCGCACCATCCAGCCTGCCTGCCCCTAAGGTGCTCGCTTCACCGGAGCCCCAGCACCCTGCTGGTACTCGGTAACGCTTCCAAGGGAGCTTCGCCGAGACCACTGAACCAATTCACCTAACCAGCATGAACTAAATCCAGCTCTATTAAAAAAAATAAACAAATATTAAAAAATAGATGCATTTTGCAGGGTAATCATATGAAGTCACACATCAAAGCGTTAGCTCTTCTCACCAACACGCCTCTTCATATCGAAGTGTACAGTTAAATCTCAAGAACAATGTCCTTACACAAATCCCACAGCATGTATTTTATATGTATTGAAATACAGCAGGGACCAGACACTGCAAGATACTGAGCATGCCGCAAACTCTTTGAAGCCACTGGGAACCAGGAATGCTTATTCCAAGGACTGGCCTCTAAACGAGCACAAGAGGAATAGTTCATAGTTTCAGGAATTACAATAACAAGCAACATGTTTGTTGGTTGTTTTTACTTCTTTAGACAGCTGCCCATTATTAATCACTCCACCCGCAATCCTCAGATGACTAAGAAATGTACGCTACGAAAGATTTGAAAAAATCTGCTCCAGGGGCCACAAAGCACTCGGCCACAGCCTCCACAGCAGGGGCTTTGAAGTCAGCCCGATGGACTAATGACTTCTGACACTTGGGTGCTGGCGTAACACCCATACGCGGAAGGGTGGAGGTTTGCAAAACGTTGCATTGCAAAGTCGAGGAGACCACGACTGGGAGGTCGCAGAGTCTGAAAAATTATTATTTCTGTTCAAAGCCATCATCTGTTTAATATAAATGAGATATTTAATGAAGTTCCAAATTGTAGACTTATCTCTCCCAGTTTGATAAGCACTGGGGAGATTTACTGCATCGGAGGGTCAACACAATTACAATTGGAGGCACGTCAAGCTGCAGGAGAATAATAAACTTGCAGCGCAAGTGAATTAGACTCAATAAGGTTTAAATTGTGAAATGAGGATTTGTTTTATTAGTTTTTTTAAACTGCAGATTACAACTGACAGCTTTACTGAAAAGTAAATTAAACAATATTTGTAGCCTCTGCTATAAGGGAATCTAAGACAAATTCAAAAAGAATAGAAATGTTAAATTCTGAAACACTGAAAGAAAAAAAGCACAGCAACATTACACTGCTTGAGAGCTTAAACTTGCATGAGAAAGGCATTAAATGATGAACTAACCTTTATTTCACTGCCTTTAAATAAGGTGTGAAAATATCAAAGTGCTTTGGGATTTATTCTCCCAGTGCTATATTGATGACTTTATGTAACAAGTGTCCAGCTTTTAGTGAGCCATATCGCACAGTCCTTCTTCATGTGACAACCCATCAACTTGCAAACTCATTTGTAGGAAGGTCTCAAGAGATTTTCAGAAAGATACTGACAAGAAGAAAGCTCTGAATCAGAGAAATACATAGAAATTCACTCCTGGTAATGCAGTAAAGTACAGGGTAAATAAAAGAGACGCAGGAGCGCTGTGTTTAGATGGCTGTGTTTTGTAAAGTAAATCACGTATTTTATCATTTTCATGGGGAAAACTTTTTCCATTTCTAATTAGCATCTCAAAAGATGGGTTTAAACAAAGGCATTGACAGCCAGCTACACAAATATTGTACAAAAGACACAATGCCTTTTATAAAGTAGCAAAAATTAGACAGGAATTACACAACTGGCTTTTGCCAAAAAAATTGTCCTTTTCTTACATTGTTATCAGAAAGTTTGTGTAAGAAAAAATACACTGAATTTGGAAACTGTGCTGTGGGCAACACAAAGAGACCGACAGTTGAAAGCAAGATTGCAGTTCAAATAAAGACTTGTTCTTCCTGATACATTTCTAATAAAGAGCTTGAATTACACATTCCAATGCCTTCCCTTAGCCGATATCAGTGCTATCTGCTGTAATTTAATTTGATTAACTGATAAAGAGTAGGTAATATAAACAAAGATATATGAATTCCTGACCTTCATTAGAGGCCTGGCAAGGAAAGCGAGGCAGCAACTGGTCCCTACGCTTCCTATCAACAGCTGCCCCTAGCAGGAGCACTTCTTGGGGTGACAGTTCAGAGTCACGGACCGGTTGAGGCTGGATGGAACCGCAGGAGATCATCTAGTCCAACTTCTTGCTCCAAGCAAGGTCAGCAAGAGCAGGCTGCCCAGTGCCTTGTCCAGTTGGGTTTTGAATATGTCCAAGGTCAGAGACTCACAAGCTCTCTGGGCAACCTGTGCCAGTGGTTGACCACCCTCTCAGAAGAAAATTTTTTTCTTACAGTTAAAGAAATTTCTTGTATTTCAGTTTGTGCCCACTGCTTCTTGTGCTGGCACTGGGCAGCCCTGAGAAGAGTCTGGATCGGTTGTCTTCATTCCCCCATCAGGTATTTATAGACACCGGTAAGATCCCCCTGAGCCTTCTCCTTTCCAGGCTGAAAAGAGAGAGTTCCCTCTCTAGGTCCTGGCACTGATCTATAATAAATGATCATATTTGTAAAAATGCAATAAAACCTCACATGCTGTAGATTGGCTGCAGCTCCTTTTCTCTCCATTCTCTTAAAATAAAAATAGAAACAAGAATATTTTTTTTTAAATAAAAAAGGTCGCTACCCTGGCCCTTTGTCATTCAGATAAGAACCAGCTGTTTGCTAAAGCACTGTCTGTACTAACTAGCCCAGCTGCTGCTTATCTAGATGATAAAAGGACAACTAATGCGGTCCTTTTTACTTAAACACCACCATCCGTCCTATCTGAAGTTCTGCATATAAATATGAAAAAAGTTGAAGCACAATAACATTGCCAAAATACAAAATATTCAAAGCATAAACAAACTCTTTTTTTTTTAAAGACACTATAATCAGACTCCCTTTTTACTTCAGAAAGTAAATTATCAAAATACTGGCATGCAAGCATTATGAATTTTAAAGAAGTCAGTATACAAATTTGCTATATATTCCACTGCAGCCAGGGTACTGAAGCTCTTTCTGTCACACAGAATTGGTCTCCAGACTTTCTTTTTCCTTTCTTATCTGTGTACTCTGGCTAAGATGTCCAAAATGCTTCTGCTACCTTTTTCAACAGAGATACTTTTACAATAGTAGCGCCAATATTAAATACAGTTTTCTTTGTAACCACCCAAGTTGGGATCCCGCTTCAGGGACAGACTTTGAAAGATGCAAAAATGTAGGTAAACAGCCAGTAAAAGGGTCAAGACTTGACTTACGTGCACAATCATGCACTAGTAAATGCAAAATTAGCACAGTGGTTCTAAGAAATACTGCATTCTTGTTCTGGCAATGTTAAAAGGCAAGCAGAAGACAAAAAATGCTTTCAGAATGGTAGGAGGGAACACACAGCTCTGCAAAATGTAGTTAGAAGGTAGGTGATGGGGTATGGAGAGGATGGGGAGGTCAAGATGGAGCTTGTAAGTTGATACCAAGGATAGAAAACCGATAAAGGAGAAAAAACTCTGTCAAAATAAATGGGGACAGGTAGAAGGGCAGAAGACCCAAGATACTAAAAATAGTAAACCATGTACATACTTTCCCAACAACTAACTGTTTCTTGGGATGTTTACTGTTAGAAGTTTACCTAAGTACACTGAAAATCATGCACCAAAAAGACCATGAGTCCTAAAAGGAGACCACTAAAAAGACCTGTATTACAAGCTCAGGTAAA